GATAATAAATAAAGCTGCATTGGCCTATGACAGGGCAGGATGGAGCCAGGTAGGAGAATACAAAAGAGATAGTGAGAGAAGATGGGCAGAGGGAAGAGACACCAGCCCACCACCCAAGGAGCAACATGCCAGCAGACTGGTAACACCACAGCCATGTGGCAAAACATAGATTAATAGAAATGGGTTAATTTAAGATGATAGAGCTAGCTAGTAAGAAACTTAAGTCATTGTCCATACAGTTTGTAATTAATATAAGCCTCTGAGTGATTATTTTATAAGCGGCTGTGGGACCTCAAGGCTGGGTGGGACTGGAGAAACTTCCAGCTATACCCCACAGTATGATACCACATCTACCAAGTCCTGGGATGGGCTCATGGGCACATACATTTTTAAAAATATTTTTTCAGTGTTTTGTTTTATGTACATAAGTATTTTGTTTGCATGCATGTATTTCTACTGTGTGTGTCTCTGGTGCCCATGGAAGCCAAAAGAAGGAATTGGATCCCCTTGAATTGGAGTGACAAGTGGTTATGAGCAACCAGGTGGATGCTGGGAATGGAACTGGGTCCCCTGTAGGGTTAGCAAGTGTTCTTAAACAGGTATTTCTTCAGCCCCACCTGTATATTTTAAATAAGCTTTCCATAACATTCTTTAGCATACTAGAATTAAAGAAGCCCAGGACCAGAGCATTTCCTGATGTCCTGTTGTTTGGTGACTGCATTCTTACTCTCTGAAGACCCACTTCAATGACTGAATGGGTGTTTTTTAAATCCATGCCTTTTCTTTTCTCTTATGAAAGAACGATAGTGCATCTGTGGGAGGAGTTCTCAAGAACTGTGACAGCACAAATGCACTTAGGTTCATGTATTACCAAGTAAGAAACAAAGATCATTTAGAGGTAGCCCTTCTGCCTTTTTTTTTTTTTTTTTTTTTTTTTTTTCGAGACAGGGTTTCTCTGTGTAGCTTTGCGCCTCTCCTGGACCTTCTGCCTTTTTATGAGCAGGGTATTTTTTATTCTAGAACCAAACTGTCTCCAAAAATAAATAGCTGTGTCAAACATATCCCAGGATGAGGAAATGAATGACCTAGTGTTAGAGGAGGTGCTATCAATATGAGAAAATCTGCAGAGAGACATTTACTGAAGGCTAGACATTATTTAGAGGAACTCTCATGCATTACCTCATCCATTCCCTAGTGTAACTGCTCAGCAGAAAGCATGCCTTCATCACAACATGACAGATGAGGCCAGAGATTTCAGAAGGACCAAATTACTTGAAAAAGATATATTACTTGTTCCTGCTGGAGTTGAATGGTGAACTCAGGCCTGTTTGTCTCCGAAGTCTGGCTTTTTTTTTTTAACAAAACAAAGCAAAAAACCCAGAATGTATTCCTAGTAGCAAAATGAAGAAGAGGCTGTGACTTGGTGGGCCTGAAGCCTCGGAAACTGACAGTATCAATCTTTACTGGAGAAGTCCTAGCTTAGAAGCTCTGCTTGCGTCTCCCTAGGATGTACCCTAAAAACCTGCCTCCTGCCCTGTGCTGGAGGTTAATTAGAGAGGAGCTCCTGCTCAGAGACTGTAGCAGAAAGGAAGACCCAGGCTTGCACCAGTTCTGCTCATTGAGACGTTTGCAGTCTCTCACTCCATGTGTGTCCGGCCAGCAGGGATTATCCACCAATCAGTGTGGTGTCTTCCGGCCCTGCCATATCTTAGTCCTTCAGGAAGCTCTTTCCATGAAGCACAAAGAAGATCAGAAAAATGTCACTTCCATGTCTGTGGAGAGGGTTAGATCTGACAACATTGTACATCTGGGGTGTGGGCTATAAGGACCATGATGTTGCCTCTTTATGTCACCAATGTCTGAATCTGAACTGTAGTGTGAAATTAAGTGTAGACTTAAAACTAATTTATTAGTGTTAGACACCAGGATAACAGCATCCTTTGAGGGTGCTATTGATCACGAAGGGGGACAGGGAACTTTTTGGCTGATGGTAATCATCTTTTCCTCCACTTAGGTGGTCCCTTTATGAAAGATATATGAACACTTTCCAGTTATGTTTTGTATGTATTTTTCTGTTTGTAATGCTATAAAAATTATTTAAGCACCATTTTAAATTACCTTTAAAGGGTAGTGGTGTTTAGAAGCATTCACAGATATTTCTAAGTTAGTTGAAATGGATGAGTTTATTTCCAAAAATGAGGTAGCAGTGTCCTTAGCTGGTAGATAAAGAAGGGAGCAGAAAACATGACAGAGGAGATGGAAGAGAGAATTAATTTGCCATGGGATTCAGCCAGGGCCTCAATCTGTGTAGGCTCCTCTGACTAGTGTGTGCACAGGGTTTTGTCAATTCTGTCCACAGTCTTCTTGAAAGGTAAAAGAAAGGAATGAATTGCAAGGAAGACTGGGATGCAGATGGCTTTGTTTGATTCAGAGTTAGAGCTGGAAATAGCAAGATGATTTTCCAGCATAGCTTGCTTCAGGCAAACTGTGAAGCCAGCCCTCCCATTGGAAACTGTGAATTTTCATCCATTGTGACCTGGCTTCCACTATCTAAACAGTGACCAATACACTGGGACCATTGGATCTCCTGGGCACCATAGACACATATCTGTATTTATGATTTGGAAGAGACAAGTGCACAGTCTAGCCTGAAAACACCCCCACTCTACTCCTCACACCAGCGACATGGCTTTGTCCTCTCTCCTGCCTGTTCCCTTCTCCATGGCTCTTACAGTGGGTCTTGCAGCAAGCAGCCCTACCTGTGCGCTCACAGGTCCCTTGGCTTCCCTCCTCTGGAGAATTAACAGCTCTCCAGAGTCTCCTTCCAGCTTCTGGGAACTATTGAGAATTGAGACAGATGAGATGATCTCTCTCTCTCTCTCTCTCTCTCTCTCTCTCTCTCTCTCTCTCTCTCTCTCTCTCTCTCGTGTGTGTGTGTGTGTATGTGTGTGTGTGTGTGTGTGTGTGTGTGTGTGTGTGTGTGTATGTGTGTGTGTGTATGTGTGTGTGTGTGCACCTGCTTGCAGGGATGACCTCATGGAGGAAATACAAATGTAAAGAAGCTTTTCAGAAAATGTTTGGCTGTCGGGCATTTGCGTTCATATTGCTCATGGAATAGCCAGGCTCTCCAGTAGAATTCTGTTTGTTTCTCCTCCACCGTTTGAACTGAAAGTCAGAGTCTACAGAATTCTCTGTTTTCCGTCCTTGGTGGTTTCGTAATTGTTTCCTTCAGGGACATTAGTATTAGGTTATAACAGTGCACAAATGACCACAGGGCCCAGGCTCCCTGAGGAGCCCCGGATTCTGCCTCGTTTCTATGGCACAAATGAGCCTCATTAGCAGCGGGCAGGCTTTCTTCTCTCTTCTTGGCCTCTGCCTCACAGCAGAAATGGAACCAAATCTCTGTAATGCATGGAGCCTGTTTCCACCATCTTATTACCATTACTCGGTACTGTTCCCTGGGCCTTGTCAGTCACTCCTGTCACATAAGTTCTTCTCAGACAAAGCTACAGAGGAAAAAAGTGTCCTATCTCTTGGGAGATGTCAGACTAAAAACAAATCTGAGGTTAGATGTAAAACATCTTGTAGGCTACTCCCTCAGGCTTGTTAGTCTTCCTACTAAGAATAGTTTGAGATTAGCGTCAAACTAGGGAACCAATTGAAAGATTAGTGTTGAGGTCTGGCTGTACTGTCTACACTGATATGTAAATGAGAAACAGGTACTTAGGAGGACACCCAAACTGAGAAGTGTCTCCCTTGCCTTCTGTTTGCCTGGACTGGTCAGCTATTCATGCCTGTTGAGCTGAGTAGCATTAGGCTGAGATATATGGAATGAGGAGCCAGAGCCTGGAAGCCTTTCCCAGTCTCCCTCAAGTCCCAGTGTCCAGGTTTATATCCCGAATTCTGTGAAACGACACGGTCAGGGTCTGGAAAGAGCCTAATGCTGGATAAGACTTTGCACCCTCCCCTCTCTAAAGGTCCTGTATAGAGGAACTCATTTGCCCTTCATAATAACCTGGAAATATCCTTGTGTTTCAGATGAGATCTGAGAAACTGAGCAAGCTGTTTATCCAAGATCATAAATGAGGAGTCACTTCGGGTTAAGCCCAGTTTCATTCTAGGGTGTGGTGTTCTGATAACCTTGATATAAAACTGTGAAACAGGTCACTCAGGGGTGAACTCTTTGTTACATGCATGATGGGATTGGAACACTGAGCATTTGTTGTGTAGCCCAAATGATATCAAACTGATAATCCTTCTGCATATGCCTTCAGAGTATATGCTAAGTATAACTGACATGGATCACCATGCCTGGCTGGCAGTGACTTTGCTAAGCACCTCAAATGGGCACTAAGAAGTTTTCCTTAGGGAATAAGAGAGTAGAAAGAACTGCACTTCCATATCAACCCCCTTCACTGACTTTCTCATGGACCAGCATTCTCAGATACAGAACTGATGCCCCATATCCATGAGTAAGAATGCCCTCTTTGCTTGGAACATGGCAGAAGGCTATCCACTCATCAAACACTTAGCATTATGCTTGTTTTCCTGAGTGAGGAATTAAACACATCCAGGGAAGCAATTGGGTGACTCTTTGGCCATATTATCCCACACAGAAAAATGCTCTGTTATTGAGGGGTTGAGGGCATGGGCATGGACTCCATGGGGGCAAGCAGAAGCACTGGCAGGCTCTTCCTTGTGATCCATACATGTCCAGCAGTTGTTCTAAGGAGGATCCCTGGACCTGAACAACTGCATATGACATTTTGGATCCATGTGGACATGTGGACATATTCATTAGCATCCTTAAGGCATCCACGACCAATCATGTAATACTTATAAGACATTTGATTCAATTATTTCTGTATCAGAGTCTGAGAGCACTGGTTTGGGGGATTTCTAGAGATTACTAAGGTTTATATAATGTTTCACTTTAGTAATTTTCTTTGCAGACTTGACTCAAATAAATGCTTAAATGCTCTTATTGGATATATTTACAGACTGGATTTTTCCATCTACCACATGGTGACTTTTTCATTGAGCCTGTTAAAAAGCATCCACTGACGGAAGAAGGGTACCACCCTCATGTCGTATACAGGAGTCCGGAGACAAAGGAGCCCACCTGCGGATTAAAGGGTATTGTGACTTCAACATCTTCATACATAAGGCGTTTTCTGTTTTGATTTTTTTTTTAAGCCTGACCTCTTCAGCCAGGTATGATAGGTGTGACTGCAATCCCCAAAGATTTAGAGGGCTGAGGCATGAGGATCCATGAATTCAAAGTCAGCTACATATCCAGACCTATGCTGTGTTAAAAAAAAATCCTCTCCAGAATATCCTAGAAAGAAATAACATAAAGAAGTAACACTTTTAAACATGAACAATGTGATATTAATTAGTGTTAGTGCAAACTATTAACAGACAGCTGGAGGCTCTTCAAACCTGCATATGGAAGACAGATTCAAATGTTTGATAATGATGTGTGAAGCAAAACCGAAAAGCTTATCAACCTATTCTTAGATGATGAATTTAGCAATGCTCCTGGTTACACTGTGTTGTGTCTGATGTTGGCTGAACCATGTTCCCTGCCCCCTGCCTTCCTGCTCCCTTCCATCTGCTGCCTGCCCCCCTTCTCACTGCCCCCTGTTCCCCTACCCCCTGTTCTCTTACCTCCACATCCCGTCCCTGTTCCCCTTGTCCCTCTGTCCCTCTGCCCCCTTGTCACCCTGCTCCCCTTTCCTAGGCATGATCTGAGCTGCTCCTTTCTTTTTTTGCCATGAATAGTTAGGATCTTGGAGGAGTTAGGGGAAGGGAAAACCATGATCAAAATACATGGTGTGAAAAACAATTTAATGGAAAACTATGCATTTAGCCTTCCCACTTTTCAAACAATAAAAAATAAAATGGTTTTCACTGATAAACTGATCCCAGTAATTTCATTGCAACCTCGCATTTTCTTTAATGTGCATATAAGTAAAAATTATGTATAAAGGGCTATTCAAAATTGGAATATTTCCTCAAATATTATATTGTCCATTTCTTCAGAGGGAAAATAACAATGCCAGCAGGAAAAAAAAAGAACAAAGGAAATAGTATTATTTTGTGTCTTAAGGATCTGGAAGTCTCAAAGGGGAAATGAAGGATGAAGGAGGTAAAGCGGTCCTTTCTGGGCAGAGCCACTGAGGACAGCTGCTTAGTAGTCAGAATGTGGAAGGACAAGAGGACACATGTGCATGCTTGATAGAAACATTCCTGGGAGTTCTCCCTATAGTCTCAACAGTGAGTGTAAGCAATAAGAAACTTTTAAATATGCAATGTTTTATGTGCATAAAATCAAATGACTGCTTTAATTCCTTAACCCTAGTAAGTGATTGCAACTGGGTTCTTCATGACATAATTTACCATGTAATCTTGTAGCAAGCGTGACGAGAAAGGAAGACACCAATCATCTGGCTGATTGGATTGCCGAAAGTGCCAATCCACATAACCTGGATGTCACATTTGCGGTGCTGTTTGTCACAAACCCAATCACTGGATAATTATCCCATTCCTATTATGGGATATGTGTACGGGTAATGGGGACTGTGTTGTGTGTGTGACTTTATAGCTTGAAGGTAGACTCCAAGGTTTGGGTTGCCAGCATAGCTAGGAGAATTACTAGGACAATAAGTGAAGCTGTCTGGACTGTTGCTTCATAGAATGAGTTAAGGCTGTTCCTCACCTACCCACCTCGAACACTTGAACTCCCTATTGAGAAGTGGGCTAAGTACAAAATGAACAGAGGGGCTGGAGAGATGGCCCAGCATGTAAGGGTACTTGCTGCTCTTGTGGAGCACCCAGATTCAGTCTCCAGCACCCACATGACCACTTAAAACTGTCCAAAACTGTCCCCAAAGAGGGGATGCTATGCCCTCTTCCGGCCTTTGCATGTGATATACACATATACATGAGAACACTCATACACATAAAATAAAAACAAATGAGTCTTTTAAACACTGAGCTGATTATAGAAAGCATTTAGTCATGCCAGCAGAAGAAAAGATAGAAGAATGGGATTTATAGTATCACAGTCACTGTTATCTCACACACAATAGTACAATTATGATACTTGTCAAACTATTTTGTATTGTGTTTCCAGGAAGACCTTAACAACTGGCACTTGTAAGCTCTCCCTTGGCTATTCCTTCCTTAGAAGGATCTTCCTAGTGTGAGTTTCTCTAAGGATATCTAAAGGTCTATAAAGGACATACTTTTTTCTCTGCCTTTGAACTCTTCAGAGTGTTAGAATCGATCAGCTGTGCGTTCAGGGCCTGAGACAGTGCCCAGGGAAGCCTCTTCCAACAAGGCAGCAGCTGAGGCTCAGAGAAGGCAGACAGTTCTCAAAAACATCAGATTGGTTAGAATCAGAGCACAGACAAGTTCACAAGCCACAATTGTATTATACCTCGGGATTTGGGCTACTTCAGTACTTCTTACGTTTTCTTTCACAGTTAATCTTGTTTCATCAGCAGTTCTCACAGCCCTGCTAGAATACATAGAGACTCCCTCCACCAAGTTTGTTAGGTGTAAACTAGGAGATCAGGAAATCTCTGGAATGAAACTGTTACAGACAGCACTTTGTAGTCAAGAAGAAGCCAGAGTGTATCAGTTTGTGCTCTAGATAACACTAATTAATGGAAAGAAGAAAACAAATGCATCTTTTCTAGATCTTGAAGAAGGATTAATTGTCTGAACCATCTCTTTTCCTAAAGCAATTCTGTTTAAATGATAGCTAAAGTGATTCAAGAATACCTAATGAACTCACAAATATTCTCAAACTATATAGACATTAGGACTTTTATAATCTTGGTAGAGTGAAATGTACTTGGTGTTGCTGAACTAGACAACAATAGTCTTCTTATCTATGACATCCTGCAGAGATGGTGGAGTTAACTGCGGGCAGTGGTGTCCTTGGCTGACATTAAAATACACTTTATGCTTAGGTCAACTGATGCTGCAGGGCTGAATTAGTGCTGTGATGATCACTGACCACCCTGACCACATGCAGAGCATTCTGGCTTTCTCATGTGCTTCAACAGAAAGATGGATGAGCCCCTTCCCCCTAATCTGACCCTCACTTGTTTGTATTTCTCACACTTAAAGGCATAGGGGATTTTGTAGCCTATTTCAGGATTTTAATGCGAAGGTAGCTTGCTTTTGACTTGATCACTTTAACTGTTCCCTTAATCTGTTGTGCCAGATTAAGAGTTGTCTGATCTTCTGAGTTCTTGCTGAGTCCTGCTGTATTCTTGTTTTCTCTAAGATCAATGAGAAATAGTGGGAAACATGTAAACTTTGTGCTTTTTTGTCAGTAGAGATGAGCTCCTTTGTTTTCGGATTATTGGCGAGATGTGGTACACTGGGACATGCGTGGCTGTTGGGTAGAGATGTCTGGGAAGCTGGAGATGTTGCAATTAGGCAGATGGAACAGATGGAAAGGGCTGCAGGGTTGCAAGAGACAGGCAGTCAGCCTGGTAGATAAGACCAGAGTCTGAGATTTCACTCCTCAGGATTCCAGGCTGGAAACACCTAAGCTTGTTCCTGGCATGCAAGCTTGTTTTCAAATTCATCCAATCATCCAACAAATGTCTGCTGGCTATTTCCTTTAAGGCAGATACTTTCCTGGGTTCTGTGAATACAATTGCAAATAGTATATATATCTCCTGGTATAAAACTGAAAACTTGGATAAAGGACATGAGCAAGTAGGGGTCCTGGTCTTACCTTTATAACCTATGGTAAGATCATGAAGAGATGTGAGATATTAGGCCACGTACTGGGTTTTTGTTACTCTGTGTTATGTTTGTGCCAGACAGTCAGCCACCACTTTTTTTTTTATTGTTTCAGCTGCAAAGTACTCACTCCATTTTGTAAACTTTCAACACCCGATCCAGTCTCAAGTGTTTATACGCTGCTTCCAGGTTTTGACATTGTGTATCATTGTGTTACATATCCATTCTTGTCCATGTTTCCCAGTGTAGGTTCATGAGGATTTCACCTCACCTGTAGGTGTTCTGTGAGCTTATTCCACTACTAAGTGGAATGAAATCAAACACACAGAGCATCGAGATCTAAGACTTCACCAGATAATGCATAATTTCATTCCACTGATGTTCAAGAGCATCCTGTCTAATTCATGGTCATCTTTCTTTTGGATTTTGTCAGTCTGTTGGATAGGAAGTGCTTCATGTTAAAGTTACACAACTGCTTTGAATTTGGGCTCCATATATATAGTCACACATATACACACACACACATATATGTGTATGTGTGTGTGTGTGTATATATATGTATATATATATCCCACTGCTCTAATACATATATATTACATACGATTTTACACACACACACACACACACACACACACACACACACACACACACACATACTAGCACTAGAGCAGTGGTTTTCAACCTGTGGGTTACAACCCCCAAAGATGATTAGAAAATGCAGATATTTACATTATGATTCATAAGAGTAGTAAAATTACAGTTATGAAGTAACAACAAAAATAATTTATGGTTGGGGTTCACCACACCATGAGGAACTAGAGGGTCACAGCGTTGGGAAGGTTGAGAACCACTCGACTAGAGGAGCTCTATAGTTTTCCTCCATGTCCTAAGCGCCATGACCCAGATGGCCAAGTGTTTCCAAGTTGACTTTTCATGTAGTCTCTAACCTGATGTTCTATCCATGTAGGTCTTAAACATGTCCCATTTCCCCAGAGCAGAAGTAGGCAGCAACAGACTTAGCTTAGCCGCCAATGCCATGCATCAGTCAGGATTCAGCCGCAGAAGCAAAGCCAGCAGGAAACGTGTTTTGAGATAATTGTTGCAAAAAAGAAGACTTGAGCAACAGCTAGGGATGAGCCTTGCAAATGTGTACTCTATGAACAGGCCACCAGAAAGGGCGTGGTGGTACTGCCGTGCCCAGGCTAAAACAGCTGCCCACGTGTAGAATGTCTCCTCTGAGAAGCTGTAGCTCTATTTATAAGGTCTTTCCACTAACTGGTTGGAACAGATGACTAGATTATTTAGGATAATTGTCTTTACTTAGAGTTAACTAATTATGGATCTTATTCGTGTCTGCAAATGCCTTC